TATTTTTTCCGAATCTCCATCAATTATGATTGGATTGGTGCATTCTGGGTTGTATCGGAGAATCTGACCTTTCCAGTTGTGTATATTGAGACTTACTACCGTTGAGGCTGTGCTAAGCTGATCGTCCTCTCCTGCGTTTGTCGTTGCGTGTGCGATAGAAAAGTAGGTTTAAGTCAGATCATCAGCGAGGTCTAGATCATCCAGCTGCATCCTAGGTGTCCTCTGTATCTCACGCTTCGTCATAAACGTTTTAAATTTATGACCAAGCATTAGTGATAAATCGGATATCTCTGTGTAACCTTGTGTGACAGCGAAGCATCATTTTCATATATATCTCGTTAAATAAACTTTGAGAGTTGCTTCCAATCAAGTAATCAGAAAAAATTATATCCCCTGAGTTTCAGAAATAATTTTGTATATGTATATGCATTCTGAAGGTAATAATTACAGAATTCATGCCAGTAATTTACAGATGTGATCAGCATTTAAACTGCGCTTGTCTTTGATTTGATTACCATTTATGTTGGCGTCTTAGTTTATTACGATATTAAGCTGGTATATGTAATTCGTGAGGTTTACTAAACTTGTGCGTTTTAAAACAGACTATAAACACCGAACATCGTCTAACTCCATCAAAAATCTCCTCAATAACATCAATTCAAATCTGATTGCCCTCACCCAACTACCGTATCCAACTTCAATCAACATTCAACACAAACACCCATCTGGTAGACAGTCGAGTGCGTCTATCCAGAATATCGTGTTGCGATAAATTTCTCCGCCAGAGTGATTGAAATAAAACGAAACACAGAATGTGATGTGGAGTTTTTCATGAAAATGATGATTGTTCATAGTTTCACATTCAATAAACATGAGAAGTATCAACTAGTCGAGTCTAAACGTTTCTAGATTATTATAATTATGAGTCCCACCGACATACAAACTACGGAAGTGAAATCTCGAGAATTCAGTAAGGTAATGATCACTAATTTAGAATTAGATGGTAAATGTACACAGAGTTTATTCATAGCTGATGCCAAATCTACTCAAAAATGATAGAGAATTTTATTCAGTTTTCTGCTGTGTGTTTGTCGGTGATTGTCAGTCATGTGAATGCATCATTAGAAAGCGACATTCCTTTCTATACTCAAAGTGAATAGAAAACATCAGATAACGTGATGATTAAGATAAAATATGGTGGAAAACAACAGAATCTTTGATCATTGACATTTCTAAAAACAACAAATGCGGTCAACAGACAGATATCTGCATATCACACGTTCAGTTAATGTACACTACTATTTTCATTAGTGTTAACTTTAGAAGAATATTTTCTATACAAAAACGTAAAGTAGATTAGAAGAAGAAAAGTAGATGGGCTGAATATGTGGAGTATTCAAACACATAAACGTGACTGAATTGACAATGTACAGCACACAGTGTGAACGGTTTCACGAGTACGAAAATAACACGTGTTGTGTTCACGTCAAATAAATACAGTTCATCGACGATAATATGTTCCTGATGGATAATTTTATCTTCTGCATCCGTTCAAATACACTTTTGTGTTGTTAATCACATAATGGCCCCGAGTATATTAGGGACTTGAAAGATGAGTGTCCACCTAAGGAAAGTGGAGAAGACGAAATACAAACAAGTGAAACAACAAACAGTCGGTGATATTCAATATGGAATTGAAATCACGCATAAATATCACTCTCTGATTATCATTAATTAGATGTGTAAATTGATATAGGTTTGAAGAAAGTCTCCAGGAATAATTATTAGGTAAGATTCAGTTCATTATCAGTTGTGTCTTCAAAGCATATTCACCTGGATATTCAGGAAAGTGAACGGATTAAATTACTCTGCATACTCAGAGAATTTAAATCTGCAATGTCCACGTCAGATCATTCCACTTCATTTCCAATGAACTCCATTTCAATATGTTTGAATGTATTAAGCACTTTTGTAAAGCACTCTATGTTATCACAGACTACTACTACTACTACTACTACTTCTACTACTACTACTACTACTACAGCTCTGCTTCTGTTTAGAATTCAACAGAAATTGAGCAAAGTAATGTTTTCGATAGTTTGATGTGGTGTAATCTACGTCCGAACAGATCTGTTAATTTCTTATAACTTTCTGTTTGTACCGAATTTTGTACGTGTCAACACAGAAAATTCTTGCATTCTATCACAATGATCTGACATAACTTTCTTTAATCGTCATTACTATGTTGGTCAGATTGAATGAATAGGACTACGTTTAGAAGTTTTATTTTCTTATTGAACTATGATGAAATCGTCTAACAGAAGTTTTATTAAAATGAAATTCAAGTGGCAAAGTGCAAATGTTGAATTTCCGCCTAAACATTTTGATTTGAATCAATCAAATAAAAACAATACACCATTGACAGTCTATTCAGAGGTGTTTGCCAGCAGCAAACTTCTTGTTCGTAAACACATGAGCACAAATTTTGAATAGCAGGTTAACCAACCGTGTATTATGAAGCATTTTCAATTACATTCAAGAGCAGTTTCATCAATAGGGATCAGGAATATAAAACAGCGTTGGATAAACTCCAGCTTAGGTTCAAAATAGATAGATGAATATTGAATAACGATCAGTTATTCCACCACCATGATTGGTCAATAATGAACGAAATTTGACCTTCATGGTCACTTTGAATTATCGAATCAGAATGAACCAACCAAACACTCAAAAAAATCTATATATACCAGACAATTTTTAGTGAAATTTCATTAACTGCTTTAAACGAGATGATGAGGTGAGTGTTAGCTGAACACGTTCGGTAAACGAGTGTATCGTACACATTGAAATTTGATTCCATGAGATAACGTTATTTTATTCACCTGAATCATTTTAGATTCAATTCTCCATATGATCTGTTCATACGAATTTCTATGATCTTGAACTTGTTTTCCGGGTTCTGTACCTGCGATGAAATCTGTAAACAGCCGGATTGGAAGAACTTTAACAAAGTGATTTTTGTGAATGAGTCATATCGATATGTAAGTAATCAGTCAGATGCTAATAGTCATATACAGTCTCATTATTATCATTACTCACAAACAATTAGTCTCAATCAGCCTCATCCATTTGTGAATGGCCGTTTTAATGAGAAGAGGGAGTTTAATGTGAGTTGATTACATTTTCTAGTTGAGGCACTATCCACTTATTTAAACCTTTTAGCCTATTTATCCAGAATTCCGGTTGAAATATTTCGAAACTCAAGTTAGTAAATTTCTTTTTTATGATGATGGTGAGTTCATCATTTTCTTTGAATTAAAAATTGTTAAATGAATTTTCTTGATCATAAATTAATCTCATGAATCAAAGTTGATTCAATTTCTCCAGTGAATCACTTACATGCTCTGTGTTACATGTTGAACTGATGCAATTTATCAATCTAATTGTATGTTTTCATTAACAAAAATAAAGGTGTTTTAGAGATATTTAAAGAAAACGACGTGAAAATTGGAGAAATTCTAAATGAATTAGTAAATTATGTGTCCAGGTATCTTTTGATTGAGAGTGAGTTTTTTGAATTATTTACTTGTAGTGTATTTTCTTTACTGTTCACAAATACATTTTGCATATATGGAATCTCACCGACATGAGATTTCCCAGTAATGTAAGTGAATCAAACTGAACAAATGCGCAGTAATAAGCGATATTTTGAGTTAAATTAGTTTGTACTATTGAAGCAATAAATATCAAAAGACAATTACTCAGTTAAAACGTTTTGAGAAAACTTTACGGAAGCGTAACATTTTTCTCACTTAGTTGGGTTGAAGCGTTCATCATATCGTTGAAGTGACAATAATCTTTGAACCATCCTCATAAGCGATGATCGAGCATTTCACCACACCATTTCATGTAAATGTTGGAATGAAATTGATAATTTGTATGCAGTGGTAGTCCATGTTAAAACATACATCAATTAAAACAGATGGATTTTCATTTTACACATATTTCATTATCAATTTTTATTTTCAATACTTCAGAGGAATTAATGGCTTTCAAATGGTCTTCCGTTTCAATATATGATAGAACACGTAAGTCAACCAATATAAAACCTGCACACTTACATCTTCACGGATTGTGATCACTCAATGTTTGTGAGATTCAGTTATCAGAAAATGGATAAGTAAAACTTTGTTACTTTCCTGGAAAATGAGGGTTGGACCAAATGTAAAATACACTCACCGTTTGGTCACATTAATTGACGCTTGAAACTCAGTTGACGTGAACTGAGAAACTTTATTGATTGCAGATCAAACTGAAGAAAGCATTTAACGCAACTCAGTTTATATCCATTAACTTTGATAACATTCTGAGTGAGGTTAAACTGTTTTACACCCATCTTTCAAATTCTTGGTATCGTTGGTCTTTTTATTGTAGAGACTACACCCATAGTAACTATTCTGATATATGCAAATGGGAAGATATCGATCTATTATGAGAACGTAAGTTACAAAATTGAATGGAAATATAATTTTGTTTCGAGTACTTGAGTTCAATCTACTATTTCATATTTATGAATACTGTCGAATGTATTAAGCTACGCTGAACACGATATAAAAAGATCAACATTTTGTCATGTGCCAACATTCATCAATGTATCATCTGAGCACAGCTTCCTTGAAGTTGTTAACAATCACATTTTATCTTTCATCTCACAGTGTGTCAACATATTTCATGATAGACTGTTAAGTCAACAAACTTGACTGAATTCGACAACTGACGTGATTCAGGATATTTATGTACACCAGATGAAACACACTTTCAAAGAAAATGAGAATATCAATATATGTTATGCAAGTATGGTTAAGATAATTTGAACGAATACCCATTTCTATAATGATCAATTTGTTTTGATATAAGAGGTTGTATGCTGACCAATCCTCGTTCCATGGTTCTTTCCAGATTCATTCGGAAATTAACATAGACTGGATATCAGGAATCCTAGGAATCTTTCAATGTGAAACAGGTGAGAAACTTTGCAAAGGATGATGTTAACAGTTTGATGTACGGTGACGTATAAAATCAATCATTTATTTGCTGTGGCACATATAACCGGCATTCTGGAGTAAAGTAACTAATGTGTATGAATGTTTTTTATTGCAAAAGTTTGAGTGATTAGGTACTTGTGGAGAGCGATCAACTGAACAAGTCAGGAATATATGAACGACGAAATTAGGCAGACAAAATATCGACTAGTTTTTCACGCGACTAATCACAATACGACAGTCACACTTGCCCTTCTCATTCATATCACCACTCAATGCATGACAAAGTGTGTTCTATATATGAAAATGATGAATAAGAGGCATCTGAAGCTAATAGTTTCTTCACACAATGCTCAATCCTATGTGTTGTCGAAAGATGAAGCTGAGTTTCAAGCTGAGTGAATGAGTGGAATACAGTGTTTCATGATCACATGTGAGAAAATGCACCAAATATTTGGTCAAGTGATATAGATTGCTCGGTTGAAGTGCATTACTGAGTCAGCAAAAAAATGATGAAAATTGTCATTTCTATGTTGCTCGTTTGAATTCTCTCACCTGTCTCTTATTGATTCATGCGCTTTCTGTGATGATTGCTTCGATGTTGTCTTTGATCACAAGCATTGTAAACAAACATAGATGGTGGTTAGCAGTGGAATCGATTGCCCTCAATAATGAACATGAGAAGATTCAATCAATAAAGCAGGAATGAAATAACGTTTCAAGCTTTGTACAAGCCACTGGGTGTTTGGACTGAATAGTTAAGTGAATATCCGTATGGCGTTTGAACTGGATGGTCCTGAGCTCTTGTCCACGAGTAAACATCAACGCCGAGATGTAGGAATATCCAGCTGCGACGTTTTAAATAAGAAGGAACGCTAGTCATCATTCGTTTTTCATTTGATGCTCCCATGTTGTTTATTTGTAAGCTGAAGCGTGAAAAAGTGTTTAAAGGGTTGAACTTAAATGTTTCTGTTGTTGCTCATAAAAGAAATCTAAATGTTAGGTGTTTTCTCTTCACTTTGTCATACAAGGTAGGACAGAACATCAGATAGCTGTACCTGTAGAATTGATCGGAATTGGCACGTTAGTGGAGTACGAAGTCATCGGCAGTACGTTAAACCTTCTTTATCACCATTTTCTATTTTCACATTTGAATCTCTTCATTTTATTTCAGTACGCTGAAAATTTCATTTGTAACTGCAGTCATCTACTAAATGACATCCAGATATCCGACCCAAAATACGTTTCAATTACCATTAGTAACTACTCGTCGATTCACTTTCAAATATCAGGAATGATAAGGTATCCGTTTTGAACGAATATTGAAGACTTGTGGACAAACTCACAAAACGATGTATGACTTGATAGTAATCTCGATAAAGATTAAGTGACAGTTATTTGATTGTGGATTGACCAGGCAGCTTCTATTTTTCTTTTTTGATACATGTGTTATCGAATTTTTCTGGGTCATTGAAATCACAATAACACTCCATGTCATTGCGATTAAACGAAAAACGATTGTCTACTTTCTGAAATCTCTGCTTTGTCATATATATTCGATAAAATGAAGATGAAATGTGACGTCACCAAACTTATATTCATCATAGACAGTCTCAGAATTATTGATGTATTTCACAATACGAAATGGAATATGAACACTCAGCAAACGAAAACAGATTTTAGTTCACTATGTGTTAGGCTACCGAAATAACATTTCCACCACTGTGGGCGTCATTCCATTAATAAATGATCAAATCGCCTTCATATTCATCGAATACAATATTATCTTTATCATCGATTAATTTTCGTTGATCCAACTAGTCTTTTGCATTAACTGACAACACACAGACCAGAATGCGATCACATACTTCGATATGTTTTATCATATTAGAACAACTAAAATCTTTTCAGGGAAAAATGACAATGATCATTGGAATAACAGTGTCTATCATCATTTAATGCTCAACTGAATCACCATGATTGAATTGAAATCGTAGGCTTAGAACAACTGACCTTCCAGCACTGCTTTCATGAAAAGAAACTCTGCGTTGTTGTAACATAATATGCAGTAGGCTTTGATGAACCCAGTGACAGAATTGTGCTTACATCTCTGAATGTAAACAGTCATTGAAATCTGTCAAGTTTGTCAGTCGGAATTCATCGTTCATAATTGATATTCTAACTTGTTCCATTCACTCCAAACATTTCGTTGTGAAACATTATTGAAATTGAATGAATACTGATTATTGCATCACGCATTGTGATAACAACCCTCCAGTGAATGAAATAGTCACTTAACACTGAAATTACTATCATGCCATTGAGTGATAGTTGCATGTATTGTAATTCTCTTTAAGTTCTGTTTAAAAATTCGAATTATAATATCACCTAATTACTTTTACAGCAATTTGTCCAATACACAATTCAAGTGAAGCATGCCGGAAAGCAACAACATCGAAAACGAAATGTATTTGGTGTGAAAATTGGAACACGTGCATTGACAGTAATCATCTGGATAATCATTTCTTTAAAGTGAATGTGTGCCATTTTAAGGTAATTGCTTGTTTAACTGATTGTCAGATCGGTGGTAAATGTTCTGAATGATTGTACAAATGCACATTTTGTTACTGTTTGTTGAATTGCATTTTATCATCCTTATTGACAGCAATACGTAATGAATTATTCAAAAAGTACTTCATGTTTTGTATTGAATGCTACTCTTTTGTTTATTCAACAGAGCCCGGATGTTAGCGATGTGAGTTCATCGACACCCGTCAATCACGAAGAAACAACATTGGGGATCACTGAGGTTCAGGTTGAGGGAAACGTCAAGGAAACTACCAATGGAAATGAACAATACTCGGTAAATATTTGATAGTTAGTAATATATGCTACTGTTTTGTTTATTCAAAAGAGCCCGGATGTTAGCGATGTGAGTTCATCGACACCCGTCAATCACGAAGAAACAACATTGGGGATCACTGAGGTTCAGGTTGAGGGAAACGTCAAGGAAACTACCAATGGAAATGAACAATACTCGGTAAATATTTGATAGTTAGTAATATATGCTACTGTTTTGTTTATTCAAAAGAGCCCGGATGTTAGCGATGTGAGTTCATCGACACCCGTCAATCACGAAGAAACAACATCGGGGATCACTGAGGTTCAGGTTGAGGGAAACGTCAAGGAAACTACCAATGGAAATGAACAATACTCGGTAAATATTTGATAGTTAGTAATATATGCTACTGTTTTGTTTATTCAAAAGAGCCCGGATGTTAGCGATGTGAGTTCATCGACACCCGTCAATCACGAAGAAACAACATTGGGGATCCCTGAGGTTCAGGTTGAGGGAAACGTCAAGGAAACTACCAATGGAAATGAACAATACTCGGTAAATATTTGATAGTTAGTAATATATGCTACTATTTTGTTTTTCTATAGAATGCGACCATTGAAATAACTCAAGAAAGTGGACACAACAAATCACTTTGGTACCTGTATATTGTGATTCCTTCGGTCATCTTCTTTGCTGTTTGCATCGGCTACGTAATTTGGAGATGGCTGTATAAAAGACGAAGATATAATGAATGATTCTCGAATATTATGACTAAGTGCTTTTTTATTTCGTATTCCATTTAAAAACTTTAGACTTAATTATTCATTTCAATGGTTTGGTAAATTTCTTCACGGAACTATGTGTATTTTGTTCTTGCCTACGTAATAACCGATGTACACTTGTTAATAAAATACCGGACACGGTTTTTAATACATGCGTTTTTGTCTTCATTAAAATCTGACTTGTTTTTCGAGAGTTAGACAGCATCTTGTTCTTGAACTAGTGGTATTGTGTTTATTAATCATCAATGTGCAGGTTTTGGAATTTTCGTCAATATCACGTCGGACTACTGAAAAATATCATTTGGAATATGCGACGGTCATTATTGCAAATTGACCTGTCGAAACACACATCATCAAAACATAATTAATCTCTTTCATCCTTCGTCACTTCATTATTCATTGTTCAGCAAATGCTGAGTGACAAACTATGGTTAATTCGGGGTTATCTAGACTGATTGTGATTCTTTCCAAATTTTTATTGTTGACAGAACCAATATACGTCCATTAGTTTCACTCAAAGCTTATTCTTCAGAAGAAGCTAAAATGGAGTTGTCTTTCTCAGCTTCACAAAGGATACCGATACTGAGATGATAGTTAGGTGTGTTAAGTGCTATTGAAGAATAAGTATCCAGCGTTGCACAATGGATTGCAGGTTTTCGGAGCACTCATACTTCACGGTTGTCACTGATGATGTTCAGCTTCATTGTTCTGAATTGTGCTGTGAGGCTTATATAAAACATGATTATCTACGGATTCTAGAACATGAACTTTGACAACACTGACAACGATTGTCACCTTTTTTCGTCTATTGAAACGAAACATCCTAAAATTTTGTTTAAGCTTTTACGCAAACATATTTCATGACTGGACGTAGAGCGCTGTCAGTGAACTTACAGGTGTTGAGGTTTGCCAAATAGATTTCAGTCTTGTGTTCAGCATATAATATCGTTATACTAGATACTGACTGCTGCCTGACGCCATCTGATTGGGATAAAATATGTTGTAAATCGAGTTTGGGGTTCATTTTGTGTACTTCATTTCGAAAGTTTTGTACATTTTGTTGAACGTCATGATTGTAAATTGGTTATACAGTGACCAGCTCCACTTATAAACTAACAATTTCCTTAATTGCTCACTTATTTACACTCCGCCAAATTTTCTTCAATATTGTAACTTATTTGTGTCCGATTTTTGTTATCATGTCAACTGTATTTTAAATGGTAATAGTGACTCCAAAGTGAAAAATTAACTTTCGTTCACTCAACCAACGTGATGGAGCACCAAGCAATACAAATGTCCGCTAAATTAAGATTAATGACTGCTGAAACCTCTCAAAGTAGATAATCACGTGCATAGTTATACCAACTCAAATAAAATCGGTTCCAAATTCATATATGTGAGTGGTCACTTCAAAAGATCTATTTCATCAACTGATCTACAAATCATTGAGTCGATGACTTCCAGACAGTATAATTTTCCATGCATGTTAAGTACTGGACTGGTTACATGATTTGTAACTGTTATGTGGAAATAGTCGTATTAGACAAAGACAAAGTGACATGAATATCACATGTTTCTCATTTTAAAATAGTTATTTTGAGAATTGAGCTCTCGCATTACTACCGGATATACCATCCAGTACTTTTAAGGCGTCGGATCAAGTGAATTACCTTGATACGTTGAGTGAATGCAAACACACCGTCCGTCTATACTCACTTGGCTTCGCAAAGTCAAATTTCACGTTAGAAATTATAGGCAAGACACTCTTTCGGAGGGACTCGATCGTGCTGTACGTTATTTTATCAGTTTGCATTTGCAATATGCGTCTCCGAATGCCAACATTCCATAAGTAGTTGTTATGATAATTAAAAATATGCGAATCATAGAAATGACTAAGAATTCTCAAATACCTGCAATTTAAGATAGAAAGAACTGAATGAGCGAAAACAAACTAGGAATTCGAAGTCATAGGCCATCACGTGCGTACAACCACTGTCAGGCAAGCCGTACTCACTGACTTCTCGCAGAGGGACGAGGACAAATTGAGAATGGTCGGCGGTTAACTCGGGTTGGTAGATGTGTACAATTCACCTTGAGGGTGTTGGAAAACACTAGTTCCAAACCAATGATGCAGATGGAGCTTGGGATCCTGGGTGAATAAATAACACGTGAACTAGTTATTAGTCAGAGGCAACCATGGAACTGCATCACCCACCTTGTGGATTGCATAGTTCGTTTGAAGTGTCCTGATGTGGCTTTATAAGGAAACCACCTGTTTTGCTTTGGGCATCTAGTGTGAAGCAAATGAGAGGATATTTTGGGTCCAAAATCATTTCTTAATATTCTGTGCATCAAAATCAGGTCACTTCTTTGTCTACAATAAGATGGAGTAATAAGGTTCTGTTTTTCAATCCTCTCTTTTTGTTGTGAACATCAGAGTTCTGAAATCGCACGAGTAGCTGCACCCAGTACTTTTTCGAGGACATGCAGGTGAATTTTCAAACAAGGACTTGCAGGCTTTCACAGGCACTTCCCCTATGCAGTGGCTATTCAACTTTGCATCTTTAAAGTGTAGGATGACAAAATTTGCCGTGTCGGTGGGCATCAGTCATTCTTTCGAAAAGTTAGTTGCATGCATCTGCATCTCTCATTAATTCTTGCCAGATTTTCACATCATAAGCGTATAATAATATTGGGGAATCGACTATACTTGAGAGATAATTTACATGGAGCATAAAAAAGGGATCTAGTACAGAACCTTGATGTACTCCATTAAGTACTGGTCTACAGATGGAGCAGATCCAATTAACTTCAACTTCCTGTTTACAACCTACGAAAAACACTTTGAGCCACAATACGGGAGGTCCAGCCATGTCATGATTTTCTAGCCTCAACAGCAGTCCACTTGTTGGCATCTTGTCAAACAATTGGCTGAATTCTATGTAGATAACATTCACTGATATTCCATTGTCTAAAGCCTTTATCCATTGCTTTCTTGCGACAAGAAGATTTGTTTTTCAAGCTTAGTAAATTCAAAGGTATTCGTACTCAAACAAAATTATATTTCCATTCAATTTCGTACCCTACGTTCTCATAATAGATAGATATCTTCCCATTTGCATATAACAGAGTAGTTACTATGAATGTATTATCTACAATTAAAAGACCAACGATACTTAGAACTTGAAAGACAGGTGTAACACAGCATATGCTCACTCACAAAGTGATCACATTTAGTGGGTAATTACTGAGTTGTGTCAAATGCTTTCTTCAGTTGGATTCGCATTCAAAACATTGAAGTCAACTTGATGTGAATGAAACGAGCATGCATCCTTCCAAACTAGTGTGAAATGCCCAGTTTCTGAATCTGTATTACTATTGAATCATTGAAGGTCTAATACTGCAAAGGTATTCGCACGTAAGCAATATTCTATATAACTTTCCTTGTAACCATCGACTCCAAGTGTGTATCACATAAGTAGTGGAGCGTTTATTTACAAACTCAACTTGAGAATCTCATTGTTTATCTAACATATGGATAGTTAAATCGATCAACGAACTCTGACCACGGTGTTTGTTAGTTGAATAGATTTGAATATGTATTCTCAACGACTTCTCAATATATAGGAATGACTATGTGATGAATGGAAGTGTAGATGAATATGATGTGCACAGGAATGACTTTGTGACGAACATATGACACGATTCATTTTGTTTGAAGCAATGGTTTATCGTCAAGTTTCATCGAAGCATTTAAACAAAAGTGAATCTGTGCACAGGTTTTCAAACAGGCAATGAAGATCAATTTTTTACTTGTCTGATCTAATCATTATCAGCTCATGTCAACTGACCTTAAAGTCTCAATCAATGATGTATTTGACGATGTTTGAAGTTTGCGTTACGATAACACGATATCTAATTTTTATTGTTTAAATATCGTTGAATCCTAGTTTATAACTCATAAATAGCTTTAAAATCTATACTTAAAGCGATATGGGTCGACTGCCAAAAAACGAGCCCGGAAAATCACTAATACTTCAGATAATAACGATTCTGTTATTACCTATTCCCCATATTCTGCTACTCTTTTGAAGCTGATAATGTTGGGATAGGTCTTACATCACATCTGACGCTGGATGACTCCATCTCTAATTTAATAATGA